TCTGTCCTCTGTCTGTCCCTCTGTCTGTCCTCTGTCTGTCTTCTGTCTGTCCCTCTGTCTGTCCCCCTGTCTATCCTCTGTCTGTCCTCTGTCTGTCCCCCTATTTGTCTTCTGTCTGTCCCCTTATTTGTCCCTCTGTCTGTCCCTCTGTCTGTCCTCTGTCTGTCCCTCTGTCTGTCCCCCTATTTGTCTTCTGTCTGTCCCCTTATTTGTCCCTCTGTCTGTCCCTCTGTCTGTCCTCTGTCTGTCCCTCTGTCTGTCCCCCTATTTGTCTTCTGTCTGTCCCCTTATTTGTCCCTCTGTCTGTCCCTCTGTCTGTCCTCTGTCTGTCCCTCTGTCTGTCCCCCTATTTGTCTTCTGTCTGTCCCCTTATTTGTCCCTCTGTCTGTCCCTCTGTCTGTCCTCTGTCTGTCCCTCTGTCTGTCCCCCTATTTGTCTTCTGTCTGTCCCCTTATTTGTCCCTCTGTCTGTCCCTCTGTCTGTCCTCTGTCTGTCCCTCTGTCTGTCCCCCTATTTGTCTTCTGTCTGTCCCCTTATTTGTCCCTCTGTCTGTCCCTCTGTCTGTCCTCTGTCTGTCCCTCTGTCTGTCCCCCTATTTGTCTTCTGTCTGTCCCCTTATTTGTCCCTCTGTCTGTCCCTCTGTCTGTCCTCTGTCTGTCCCTCTGTCTGTCCCCCTATTTGTCTTCTGTCTGTCCCCTTATTTGTCCTCTGTCTGTCCCCCTGTCTCCTCAGAGGTTATGGCTCCAACATCTTGGACAACCTTCTGTCCCGTATGGAACAATACGCCAACAACCTGGAGGAGCTGGTTGAGGAACGAACACATGCGTATCATGAAGAGAAACGCAAGGCTGAGAACCTGCTGTACCAGATACTGCCACAGTAATCTATTACTCTACCAGATACTTCCACAGTAAACTTTTACTCTGTACTCTATTACTCCTACTGTCACTATACTCACTACTGCTGTACAAGATACTGCCACAGTAATCTATTACTCTGTACTCTAGTACTCCCACAGTAACTATACTAAGTACTCAACTACTTGTCCTGTGTTGCAGTTCTGTAGCGGAGCAGCTGAAGCGAGGTGAGACGGTTCAGGCTGAGGCGTTCGACTCCGTCACCATTTACTTCAGTGACATCATTGGCTTCACCGCCCTGTCCGCTGAGAGCACGCCACTGCAGGTCAGCAGAACCCACGGGGCTCAGACGCCCTCTGGTGGCGACACCAGGTGTTACTACTAGTGCTGCATGATATGATAAAAATGTGCGATTGCGATTACAATATAATAAATAAATGGTATCATGAGTCTTGTTGCTTGACTCAGTGTTTCCCTACATTATATCAGGGGGCACTGACCTGACAGAGTTATTGTTATGGACAGACAGTGTGTCAATGACCATCAACAGACTGAGCACAGTCAAACACGCTGCTCACACAGCAGCGCAGCACGACACTGTACACACAGCGGAGCGAGCCTGTGTTGCGTTCAGGCGTTGTCACGTAAATGACAAATTCCAGCGCCATAGCACAACACAGCAGCATGTCAAGTGGGCCGAACCCGAGCAAAGTTGCTCAATTTTTCATTTGTTATATAGTTTGTGATTTCCCTGTGACACTTACACATGTTTGCTTAACTGTGCTTGGATGTTGTTTTATGAGGCTCTGGTGTCTTTCAGTTGTCTCATTGTCTTTAACGTTACACGGCTCGTCTTTCTCTCACATGCACTCTTCCTACTTTTCCCTGTGCTGTCTCAAGTGCTGATATAGATTGGTCGTGTTGCCGCAGGACGTGGCGACTTTAACTTTTACACTTTTACACAGCACGTCTTTCTGTTCAACGTCGCCGTACCTGAATCCAAAGTATCGCCATGTAACAGACGTTTTTTTGCCACCAACTCAGCCTGTTCATGGTCGAGCTCATGCTCTTCTTCAGCGTCTGTGTTGGTCACTGCTGCACGCCGGCTGCACGCACCAGGATAGCTTGTGGACGTGATGTCAACAAACTCCACACACTACAGGAGAGGCAGTGACGTTCACAGACACACGTTAACATTTATTTAGCCTACATTAAATCGCAAATTGCAGCCTTTTATGCGGTTACGTAATCGCACAGCCCGACATCGCGATTGTGATTACATTAATTGTGCAGCACTAGTTATTACAGAAGAACACATACCTATTCCCTGTGATGACATCATCACCTGTTTGTTTTTCTAATTCCAGGTCGTGACCTTGTTGAACGACCTCTACACCTGCTTCGATGCCATCATCGACAACTTTGATGTTTACAAGGTGAAAACGTTCCTCACAATGCTAAGCTAAGCTAAGCTAAGCTAACAGTTTCCTTCTACTTCCTCTCTTCATGCTAAGCTAACACTGCTTCCTCTCTTCTTGCTAAGCTAACAGTTTCCCACTGCTTCCTCTCTTCATGCTAAGCTAACACTGCTTCCTCTCTTCTTGCTAAGCTAACAGTTTCCCACTGCTTCCTCTCTTCATGCTAAGCTAACAGTTTCCCACTGCTTCCTCTCTTCATGCTAAGCTAACAGTTTCCCTCTACTTCCTCTCTTCATGCTAAGCTAACAGTTTCCCACTGCTTTCTCTCTTCATGCTAAGCTAACAGTTTCCCTCTACTTCCTCTCTTCATGCTAAGCTAACAGTTCCCTCTGCCGCTCCCAGGTGGAGACCATTGGTGACGCCTACATGGTGGTGTCTGGTCTGCCGGTGAGGAACGGGAAGCTCCATGGGCGGGAGGTGGCCCGGATGTCTCTCGCTCTGCTGGATGCTGTAAAGAGCTTCAGGATTCGACACCGAGCCAACCAGCAGCTGCGGCTGCGCATCGGCATACACAGTGGTCAGTGGTGTGTGTGTGTGTGTGTGTGTGTGTGTGGGTGTGTGTGTGCTTATCTGTGCTCTTTGTGAGGACCAGTGTCAGCTACCGGCAATAGGGGGACATTTTGGGCAGTTGTCACTGTGGAAAAGTACAGGGCTGTGTGAGTGTTATAGAAGGACCATAAAATAACAACTCTGTGTGTGTGTGTGTGTGTGTGTGTGTGTGTGTGCGCGTGTGCGTGCAGGTCCGGTGTGTGCAGGTGTGGTTGGTCTGAAGATGCCCAGGTACTGTCTGTTTGGAGACACCGTCAACACGGCGTCACGCATGGAGTCCAATGGAGAGGGTAACACACACACGCATCACGTCCTGTCTCAGCTGAACATGAGACAACTTTTTGTTGTTATAATGTTGTGACGTTGTCTTAATGTTGTTGTGACGTTGTCTTAATGTTGTTGTGACGTTGTCTTAATGTTGTCGTGACATTCCCTCAGCTCTGAGGATCCACGTGTCGGAGGCAACTTGTCAGGTCCTTCAGGAGTTCAGCTGCTTCCAGCTGCAGCTCAGAGGAGAGATCGAGATGAAGGGGAAGGGACGCATGAGGACGTACTGGCTGCTGGGAGAGGACACCACTGCCTGACGGAGGAGGGGACGGAGGAGAGAGGACAGAGAACAGAGGAGAGGACAGAGGAGAGAGGACAGGAGAGGACGGAGGAGAGGACAGAGGAGAGGAAGGAGGAGAGAGGACGGAGGAGAGGACAGAGGAGAGGACAGAAGAGGACGGATGAGAGAGGACGGAGGAGAGGAAGGAGGAGAGGACAGAGGAGAGGAAGGAGGAGAGGACAGAGGAGAGGAAGGAGGAGAGGACAGAGAAGAGGAAGGAGGAGAGAGGACGGAGGAGAGGACGGATGAGAGAGGACGGAGGAGAGGACAGAGGAGAGAGGACAGAGGAGAGGACAGAGGAGAGGACGGAGGAGAGAGGACAGAGGAGAGGACAGAGGAGAGAGGACAGAGGAGAGGACAGAGGAGAGGACGGAGGAGAGAGGACAGAGGAGAGAGGACAGAGGAGAGGACGGAGGAGAGAGGACAGAGGAGAGGACAGAGGAGAGGACGGAGGAGAGAGGACAGAGGAGAGGACAGAGGAAAGGATAGAGGAATAAAGAATTAAAAACTAAAGTTAAAGGTCTTCCTGCTCCTCTTTCAAGTCAAAGGTCAGACAGACACAAACAACCAGCTGAAATTTCACTCCTCCTCCTCCTCCTCTCTGATTGGACGCTGACCTCTGACATCTTTTAAAGGGACAGTTCAGGTTTTCAGGATTTTTTTTGAGCAGAAACTCAGACACATGAATGTTCGACTGTAAAAATAAATCATTTCAAATCAGCCCTGTTAAAATAAAATCTGTGTGTGTGTTTTATTTTATTTAATAATTCAATTTAATCATTTCCAGAAAACTTCTTGGACACAAAGACACGGGTGGCTCAAGTGTAACTTTTTTTTCTTAACCCTCCGTGGGCTACAAATATGACAAATAAACTTTTTTTTTTTTTTTTTTTTTTTTTTAAATATAAATAAATGTAGAATAAAGTGATTGAGATGAAAAATCACTTTTTTAAGCTCAGATTTATTTATGTTTTTCATTCAGCACTCGTGATGTGTCCAAAGACTGTCTGAAAAAAAAGTAATCAATTAACTAAACTCCATAACTGCCTTAAAGACATAAAAACTTGGATGAGCACAAATTTCCTGATGTTAAATTCAGACAAAACTGAAGTTATTGTTCTTGGCCCCAAACAACTCAGAGACTCTTTATCTGATGACATCCTGCCAGATGCCTCCTGCTGCTGCTGCCATCATTAGTCATTAGTCATACTTCTACTGTTATTATACACATATGGCTATTGTCACACATGTATACTGCCAGATATTAATACATACTTTCAACATATTGTACCACAGTAGCCAGAACTATAACTATAATATTATTACTTTCATTAATGTTGTTGTAAGCTACTGTCATTACCTGCATCTCTCTCTCTCTCTCTCTCTCTCTCTCTCTCTCTGTCTCTCTCTGTCTCTCTCTGTCTCTCTCTCTCTCTCTCTGTCTCATTGTGTCATATGGATTACTGTTAATTTATTATGCTGATCTGTTCTGTACGACATCTATTGCACGTCTGTCCGTCCTGGAAGAGGGATCCCTCCTCAGTTGCTCTTCCTGAGGTTTCTACCGTTTTTTCCCCGTTAAAGGGGTTTTTTTTGGGGAGTTTTTCCTGATCAGCTGTGAGGGTCTTAAGGACAGAGGGATGTCGTATGCTGTAAAGCCCTGTGAGGCAAATTGTGATTTGTGATATTGGGCTTTATAAATAAAATTGAATTGAATTGAATTGAAAAGTTAGAATTCAACATTTTCTGGCTCTGATAAATGGTGTAAGTTGGGCATTTTTTTTTAAAAGAAAATGTGCCGCTCAAGCCTACATGTTTTATTTTAAAAAATCTGCAAAACTTTTAAGAAAAAAAAAAAAAACATTTTAAAGAAAAAGATTGTCACTATTAATAAAAACAAACAAATGAAAATGAATTAAAAAATGCCCAAAAATTTGAAAGACAAAAAAAATCACCAAAAACAGTAGCCTCTTTTACACTGCCAGATTTTCCGCGAATGTTGGGCCGTTTTGCCGGCAAGCTGCGAGCGTTTAGACACACAGAGCCGGATTGGCGAGTTGATCCGAGGTGCCCAATTTTCCTCCTCGTAGGGTAGACATATTGGAGGAACCCTTTCAGTTTAAAAAGAACTAGGCGGCCTTCTGCCACGCGAGGGGCTGATGAAGACTTGTGGGAGGAGTTGTTGATGACGCCGCACGTGCGAGCCACTGGCGGTGGATAAACAGGAAACAGCTGATAGCAGGAATTAGCAAGAGGGAAACACAAACCTGACAGACACTGTAAAGATGAGCAACTGGGGAGACAAGGAATTGCGCGCCCTCCTTGTCCTCGCAAACGAAGAGGCCATTAACCATCAGATGAAAAAAAAAAATCAAAAAATTCTTAAAAAGAATTGCCAAAATAGTTGCCCAAAATTTTCAAAGAAAAAAAAACACAAGAAAATAATCCACCAAATTAAAGAAAAAATTGCCAACATTTTTTTACAGAAAACCATTGCCAAAGAAACAAACAAACAAAACACCAAAAAAAGAAAAAAAACTACAAGAAAAAAAAAATCCAAAAAAATTTTTAAATAAAAAGTCACAAAAAAAATTCTCAAAATGGCCAAAAAAACAACAACAAAAATAATAGTTAAAAAAATCTTCCAAAATCAGAAAAAAATCGCCAAAACTTAAAACAAACCAAAAAAGAAGTAAAGGAAAAAAATTGCCAAAATTTTCACAGAAAAACAAACAAACAAATGAAAAAATGAAAAAAAAAACATCAAAAATACAAACAATTTTGAATTAAAATATCACAAAAAAATTACCATAAAATATCATATAGAAATAAATAGCTAAAAAAACAGGCAAAAATAATAGTAAAGTATCTTCCAAAATTAAATAAAAAAATTGGCAAAATTTTTAGAAAAAAAAAATACCAACAGTTTTTAAAGGAAAACAAAATCACCAAAACATTGTAAAGAAAACAAAATTGTTAAAGAAATTCTAAAGAAAAACAAAATCATCAAAAATAACTAAATTGTCCATATTTTCTCCACAAAAAAAAACCCGAAGCAAAAGTCACCAAAAATAAAAAAATTACAGACAAATTTTTAAAATGGAAAACAAAACCCCATCAAAAATAATATTAAAAAAACCTTCCCAAAAAACCCCACCAAAACTTAAAAAAACACCAAAAATTTTAAAGGAAAAAATATCACAAAAAAAAGAAAGAAAATTGCCAATTTTCCTCCATAAAAATTTTGCCAAAGTATTAAAAAAAAAACACACACACAAAAAAAAATTCTTAAAGAAAAAAAAAATCGCCCAACAAATTAAAAACCACCAAAGATAATAAAAAATCCACCCACGGGTTTGTAGGGCAGTTTTTGGTAAAAGAAATACAAAATACAACCATTTGAAACTGTATGTTGGGGAGCTAAGTCCAAATAAAAATATAAATCCTTCCCCAGTGCTTAAAAAATATTTGACAACCCATCAAAAATACAAACATTTTTCCTCTGTATAATTAATAATGAACAGCCCCTAAAATATCTTAATACTAGAAATTAGGCAGTTTTAAAAAAGAATTACTGATCAGGCTGCAACTAATGATTATTTTTGTTATGATTATTTCTGTTATTATTTTAATCGATTAACCGCTGCAGGGTTGTTTGTGCTAAATGCTGTTATGGACGGTTTCCATCATGGTTTCCATGCGCAGCAGGCCGGGGATTGGCCCCAGATTTCCTCTGCTGTCATTGGTCCATCCGGACGTCACTCAGAGCTCTCTGTGCGCTGAGTGGTCAGAAGGCCTTCTCGGTGCGGAAGTCCGTTATGTTCCTGAGCTCGGTCACGGAGCGGGACTTGGAGTCAGAACGAGCCTAAAAGAAGTTTTTAAAAACTCGCCGTTACCGACCGAACCGGCACACACGGAGGCTCCGGTACCGACAGGAGCCCCACAGTTTCCGGTACACCGGCAGAACCAGTCAGAGCCACCCCTGAACCCGGAGTCCCGCTCCTTCGCAGCTCCGCGGGGCCCGGCGAGGCGCGGCGGGAGGAGATGGAGCCCGCACCGGCGAAGGCGAAGCCGCAGGGCCGGCTACTGGTGTCCACCCAGCTGGACGCTAAAGACGAGCTGGAGGAGGTGAGTTGACCCGGTTTAACGGCCCCGGAAGTACATTTAACTCTGGACAGAGCGGGTTGGAGCGGGTTTACCGGCGGGTCCGGGCAGTTTGTGATCAGTCCGGATACAAAGAGAAGTGTTTGTGTGGAGCTACATGGAGGTTAGCAGGCTAGTTAGCATGGCTAGCATCATGCAGCCGTGCGGCAGTGAGTGTAAACACGGTGTTTAATAGACGTCACATGAAGACACACGGCTGAGGACAGTTAGCTTAGCATGCTAACTGCACGTAAACATAAGGATGAGGTTTAAAAAGTGACAGGTACGCATGCGCTATGAGCGTGTTTCGCCTGTCACAAAGATGCTGACCAAACTCCATTCAGAAAATCAGTGATTTAACATCGGTGAGCACAGGAGCTGCTGGTGTACTGCTGCCTCTGTCAGTGTGTGTTGTTGTTGTTGTTGTTGTTTGGTGTTTTAAAGGGTTAATTCAGATTCACCGTCTCTCACACAGAGACACTAAAGAACTAACTGATGGAGGCAGCAGTACACCAGCAGCTCCTGTGTACAGTCAGCTAAAATTGATGTTTTTCTCAATGTAATCTGGCACAGACGGAGAACAGAAGGTGTTAACGGCTCTCCTGTTGGAACAGGCTGTCTGACAGAAAGGTGAAGCAGTTAAACACACTGATGTTGATGGTTTTAGTCGACATGCACCATGTTACATCTTTGCCGATATGTATTAACATTTTCTGGCTATGATAAATGGTGTAATGTAGGTGATTTCTTTCAAAGAAAACATGGAAAACTTTTTAAAGGGAAAATAAGCCAAACTATTTTATAGAAAAAACAAAAACCAAATATTAAAAAACACAAAACAACACACCAAAAATTAGAATAAAAATCGCCAAAAACTTACGTTTTAAATTAAAAATCCCCAATTTTTTTTTTTTTTTTTGCCAAAACAGTTTTAAAGAAAAAAGTCACCAAAAAGAAATTGTAGTTGTGGTGGAGTGTGGTGCGGAGAGAAGAAGGCACCAGACGCAGGATTCAGGATTGTGGTTGAGACCTCGACTACGTTTTATTTCACAGTAACGTCTCTGCTGCCGCCGTCACATCGTCAACTAAATCATCAACCTTGCAGGACAAGAGAAATAAATAAATCTCAACATTAAATAAAACAATAATTAATATTAAACAATAATGCGTCAACTGTAGATTTCTGACTTTATTCTCGTAGATTTTTTTCTGATGTTGTTTTAATGTCTGTGAAATGATTTCTTCTTCTCTACAGTTCGGGGGGGGGGGGGCAGGTGGATATAGTGATGATGATGAAGATAACGTCTCGAATTCAGAACTCATTATCACGAGTGTGTCTGTGTGTGTGTGTGTGTATTTGCAGAGATTGGAGCGTTGCGTTGGAATCGTCCAGTCGTTGACCAATGGGCTGTCAGACAGAGAAGCCAATGACGCGCTCACCGGCAACGTAAGAAGCACACACACAGTGATAAACAGTCTCCAAGGCAACAGTCATTACTGGTCTGACTTCCTGTTTACCTGTGCTGCAGGTGTGTAAAGGTCAGCAGCAGCATGAGGAGGTGTGTCTGGGTCTTTTCACTTTGGTCCTCACAGAACCCGCCCAGGCCCAGAGGGTGAGTCACCGCCACCGCCACATCATTGTGAGTGTGTGACATCACTGTGACATCACTGTGTGTGTGACAGTGTTACAGGGACCTGACGCTGCTCACCAGAGACGGGATGAACGTGGTACTGGTGAAGATCAACCAGATCCTGATGGAGAAGTTCCTCAAGCTGCAGGACGTCCCCAGAACCCAGGTAAACAACACAGGTGTAGACATGTACACAAACCCAGGTAAACAAAGACAGGTACACAGGTGATAATTATTATTCCTCTGTATGTAGATGAGGTGTGACGTTAACGAGCTCAGGTATTAACGGTGTGTGTGTGTGTGTGTGTGTGTGCGTGTGCGTGTGCGTGCAGTTGGTGTGGCTGGTCAGAGAGTTGGTGAAGAGTGGCGTGATGGGAGCCGACGGTGTCGTCATGACGCTCCTCAAACAGATCGCAGGTCAGTTTCATGGTGGTGTTATTCATGGTTAATAATCAGAGCATCAGGAGTGATGACGCCGTCACTGTGTGTTCACGTCAGGAGGAGACATTTCCACCAAAAACCTGTGGTTGGCTGAGAGCGTCCTCGACATCTTGCTGGACCAAAAGTACGATTCACGTTTAATTTATTTCAACAGATGTTTGTATCAGTGTACGTGTTTCTGTGAGGGCACACCTGTGAAGCAGGTAAAGATGTTCCTGTGTGCAGGGAGTGGGTGTTGAAGAGCGGGATGCTGATCGCCATGTCGGTCTACACCTACCTGCGCCTCATCGTGGACCACGGAGCACTGAACCTGCTGACTCTGCGTCAGAAAGAGGTCGACTACTGCATCGGCATGCTGAGGGAGAAGGTGAGGGGAAGGAAGGAAGGAAGGAAGGAAGGACGGATGGATGGATGAACACGTCTGTCTGTCCTGATGACCCTGATGGTTATCGTGATAACCCCGTCTCTTTGACTCTGTAGTTCATGGAGTGTCTGATCATCGGCAGAGATCTGGTTCGTCTGCTGCAGAATGTCGCTCGGATACCGGAGATGGAGCTGGTGTGGAAAGACCTGCTGCACAACCCCCAAGTCCTCAGTCCTCAGTTCACAGGTAAACTACACTACCCACAATCCTCTGTTCACTACTAGATTACCCACAATCCTCTGTTCACTACTAGACTACCCACAATCCTCTGTTCACTACTAGACTACACTACCCACAATCCTCTGTTCACTACTAGACTACCCACAATCCTGTTAACACCTGTACTCTGATGTGTGTCTCAGGTGTTCTTCAGCTGCTCACTGCTCGAACTTCCAGGAAGTTTCTGGCGTGTCGTCTCACACCTGACATGGAGACCAAGCTGCTGTTCATGACCTCCAGGGTAACACACACTACACATGGCACACTACACACTACACATTACACACTACACATTACACACTACACACTACACACTACACATGGCACACTACACACTGCACATTACACACTACACATTACACATGGCACACTACACATTACACACTACACATTACACACTACACACTACACACTGCACATTACACACTGCACATTACACACTACACATTACACACTACACATTACACACTGCACGTTACACACTGCACATTACACACTGCACACTGCACACTACACACTGCACATTACACACTGCACATTACACACTACACATTACACACTACACATTACACACT